ATAATTTCACTAGATGCTCGACGTAATTTAACAAAAATAAGCAAAACCTGTCGTTAAAAACCAGTTAAACACATGAATTACTTTGACGATGCACATGTTGACCTCGATATTAAAATATTATATGATGTAGGTAAGTTAAAACAGTCGTCTTTCTTTTACAACATGTGACAATAGAATTAAAACAGCGAACAGCATCATTATTTTACACGTATTTGCTGTTATTTTCAACGTTTTTACAGTTTTTTAATGTTTCAGCATTCCAACATGTTTTTAAAAACATTTCTGGCCTCCTTGCTGCACATTTTTCTCATCGACTGTTTGCTTCACAGGTCAGTTGTGACCTGACTTGCTGACACTCTGTGGATGTGCTGAACCGACCTGCTGCATGTTGTGCATGTTCTGCTGCAGCAGCTGGATCTGAGCCTCCGGACTGTGGCCGTGGGCCGGGTTGTGGTCTTCGTCCGGGCGGCCGGATCCTCTCGTCTCCTTCCTCAGCAGCTCCACCTCGTTCCTGTAGGCGTCCAGCTGCCAACGCAAGGAGTCGTTCTCCTCCTTCAGGGAGGCCTGAGTCTGGTCGCACACTCCTGCAGGACGATAGGATAAAAACTCTGGTAACCCTGAAGGAAACAACATGAGGATGAATGCAGTGCCTCATTGGAAAGCATTAAAAATACAAACAAATACGCTAAAATAAGACTAGAGGAGAAAAGAGAGACTGAAGTAGTGAAGGAATGTTGAACAATGTAATGAAAAACTGCACATGAAGTTAAAAACTTCACCTAAAAATGAAAGGAGGAGAAAAACACAAGAAATCAGAGGCAACACAAAAAGGTAAAGAAAGTAGAGTTAAGAAGACGAGGAGAGACCTCATGGAGGATATATATGAATCAAATCACTCCACAGTTCTGCTTTTTAAATGATTTTAACTAAAGAACTTAAAGAAATCCTCGTTTTTATCTTCTATAAGCTCAACTTCTGAGACTTCTCAGGTTCAGAGTCCACGTCAGGACCATTCATTAATGTTCAAAACTCTCCTGTTGCTCGTTTGTTTATTGTTTATGAACCATTCAGGCAGATTTTCTTTCTATTCAAACTTTAGAAACAGTTTTCACGCTCCACATCTCTGTTGCACAACATCGATTCCTCCTCCGTGGCTCGTCTCTAGACTTTTTTTTTCGAAGGTTTGTCCTCATTTGAACGGCCGACCTGAGGACGGAGGCTGCTCTGTGCTGTGCAGGTTGCAAATCCCCCGACAGGAAAACCGTGGAGTCTGAGGTCCTGGTTTAAATTACATCGACTCAGACTGAGACACGCTTGAACAGAGTCCCAGAAAACTTAAAGTCTTCAACTCGAACCAGGACTGAAGTCTCTGTTTGTTCCCTGTTAAGTTAAATCTGGCTGTTTTGTTCAATTTCACCTCATTTTAATTTTATTTTTGCTCTTTCACATCCAGTTTCTTTCTTTTTTTCTGTTATTTAGTGTTTCTTTTTGGCACTTAGATTAACCTTCTGTTCCCCAAAAAGGCAAATTACCTTTAATATTATGGCAAAATTACACAAATTGATTTTTAACTTTCTGACAGCCCTCGAACTCATCACATGGGGCTAACATCGCTTTACTCTATATTGTCTCATTTTAAAAAAAATTCACCAAAAACAAACGGTTTACAATAGCTAGATTGTGTAAAATGCTAAAAATTCTGTGTTTCGTGGCGCAACTGAAAAGTCTTTAGTGGCTCATCTGCGACCAACAGCCACGCAACAAAAATTCAGGGAGTTTTCGGCTGAACTGCAGGCAGTGTTTACACAGAGCAGACAGAAGACAAGCAAAAACTGTAAATATTAAAATATCTATCCTATGTGGAGTCACTGTTTTCTCCACAGCCCTGCTAACACCTTCATTAAACACCTTGGTTAAAATATAATTATATAAATTCAACTTGTGGGGGTTATTTTTTAGGATTTATGTCATTGTTTGCATATATTTTAGTTCTTTCTCCTTCTCGTCAGGGTTGATGTTTCCATTGAGGTGCAGGACTTTATATTCTAATGAAAAATACCAAAAACATCTTGTGTAGAAAGCCTCTGTCGTGCCTCGTTGCTTTACAATTAAACCTGCTTTGCCTTAATTGCATGAATCCAAAGAAACTCTCAGAATAACTGAGGGTGAAGCTTTGTGTTTGTGGATTCTTGACTGAGGCTGAAGTTCACCCAGAAACCCCTCTGACGTGAGGAGTCAGCGTGAGACTCAGCATCCAGCCGAGGGTGAAAACCAACTCCTTCGTACCGTTTTCCTCGGTGCGCATCCTCTTGCAGGGGCTTTCGTCCGAGTCGTCGTCCGACATCTCCATCTCCTCCTCCCGCCGGATGCCCATGATCTCCTCGCTGTGGGCGTTCCTCAGCTCCTGAAACGTGACAAGCGGCAGACAAACAGAGCGACAGCAGTCCTCAGCACCTCGTGAAGCACCGAGATCTCATCTACAGGTCGACTGCAGCGGGTGGACGGTGAGTGGAGGGTCTGGAGCAAGTCATATATGTGTGAAGTCAACAACCCTCAGCTGCTTTATCTTTCTCTTGTCTTTATGTTTTCAGTTATTAGACACTTTAAAAAAAAAGTCAGTAAAAAAAAATTGCAAATCTGGCACCAAGGATGCAACAAAAAATAGGAAAAACAGGAAAATAATGTAAAAATTGTGAAAACAACAGCAAATATGTGTTAAAATAGTTTTTTTTTCTGATTTCAGTACAGTTAAAAAGTTTAATTTATGGTCTCACACTTTGTAGAATTACTTTTTGTGTGAAAAAAAAACAAACAAAAAAGGATTCCTGATGGTGGACATTGTTTGGCCTGGTTTTTACAGTCCACATGCAAAGTAAACAAAGAAAACAAACAAAACAAAACAAAACAAAAAACTCAAAGAAAACAAACAAACAAAAAAACCACATTCCTGTGATTTACTAGATATTGTTTCAGTTACAAATAATATCTATCTATCTATATATATGTAAAGTAAAATAACAGTTAATTTATTTTATTATTCATAATATTTATTATTTTTAAATTAAATTAAATTGCATTATTTTTATTGATTCATTTTTCACAATTTTTCTTTCCAATAATGGCTAAAATGTGTATTTTCCTGAATGTGTACATTTATTACATTATTTACATGTAAATTTTACACTAAATCTATAATCCCTATTTGTTTAAATACAGATTTAATGTGGACATTATTCAGTATATTATTCTGATTATTATTGTTGTTGGCAGTTTTGTCCATTTATGTATTGTATGTATTGTATGTATTGTTTGCGTGTTTACAGTTCACATGCAAATTAATACTTGTTTTTTTCCCCCTGTGATTTACAAAATATTGTCTGTAAATGAAACAAAACAGAGAAAATCTGTAAAGTAACAGTTAAATTTATTGATAAATCACAGAGTGTCTCCAAACACATCCTGCTCTGTCGTCTGTTTTCCTCTAAATGGAGGCATAAGTTAAAAAATAAACCTCATGAAGTATTGAAGGAGACCTAAAACCAGCGATAGAGACCATAAACTTTTAACAAAAATGTTTACTGAGGAAACAAATCCAGTAAGATATCAGGTTGTTTTCTCTTTGTTTTTGCAACCATAGCAGTCGCCCCCTACTGGCAGTATGAAAGACTGCAGGTTTAAATCTGAGAGCAGGGGGATATTTAATAAAACAAAACTCTACTCTTGGTCATTATAAGGGCTCTGCATACACTCTGTATCTTTAAATCTTCCGTCATTTGATATCATAACACATCCAGTTTGTTTTTATATTAATAATAATGATGCATTTTATTGATAAAGCGTTTTTCCGAACGCTCAAAGATGCTTAAAGTAGTTTTATTCACACAAAAAAACTACTGAGTCGTGCAAGTACAGTCATTTTTTAAAGTGTAGTAAATTATATGTCATTTACTGAAGTGTTTTATACTGTACAACGTGCTGAGAAACAAAAAGCAGTTTTTATATCACAGAGAAGTAAATTAGCATCATGAAATTGCTGCGTTTTTACACATATCTCCCTATAAAATACAGGCAGCAGAAATATATTTTCATAACTGTGTCGAGGAAGTGAACTGGAACTATGAGGTTGGGAAACAGTGTGACTTAGAAATTAGGGAAAAACATGAGCTTAATGGAAAATTTTGAGCCAAATTCAGACTGTAAACTTCACTTTAATACACTTTAAATGCTTAAATAGCTTAAAAAAAACGTTAAATAATATTAATGTTTTACTTTAGCTGCTAATTACTGCCAGTTTTTTTCTCAGTGGTCCCCTACAGTTTTACCTAAATATGTAATTAAACTTAAAATCAGCTCATTGTCACTGCTTTTATCAACAGAATCATCCGTAAAGTGAAGGATTTACATGCATGTGAGCAGCGGCGGTTAGAAATCCGACTGAGAGCAGAGAGAGCCTCATCCTGCCGGCTGCATTATCTCCCATCGTTCCCGCGATAATCGGCTCTCGAGCATATTCATTCATTATCTCTTCATTTGTGAGCGGTGACAGCACAACTCAGACGCCCCAAAAAAACAGGGAGGCTGTTTCCAAACAAAACGGTCGTACATGTAGACTTACCACAAGCTCTAGGCACTAAAGGAGGGCTCACAGAGGGCTGCATCTCACCACATGTGCTGCTTACCTCTTTTTCGACCAAAACTAATAACTGTGGTGTTAACTGAGCTGACTGGGGGGAAGTTTTAGGATCGTTAAGGTCGGTTTTCATCTCACTGGATTCATTTGTCTGACCTCCATTAAAACAAACCAAACAAGGAACATGTTAAAAGCACAACTATGACTGATGTTTGTTTGTCTTTAGGAACTGCCCCATTAAAATCAAAAGCCAAGAGATGCTCATCATGGTGTCTGAATGCGAAACTTCTATATAAACATCAGTGTTATTGGGAGAAACAAACATTAAAATGATTCAGTTTGTTGGTGATTTCAGCTTCTCCTTCTTCTCCTGTTGTGTGGCAAAATGCATAATGCAAGTGTTCAGTCATAGAACATTCAGAGTTATAGGAGTCATTGGAAACTCAACACTGCTCTGTACACATGGTCTTTACAAGTGTTTGGAAACTTTTGTTCACTGTACGTGTTTACAGTCGGCCTGTAGGGGGCAGCACACGCCTCTTCATCGTGTTTTTGTGTCGCGATTTGAAACATAAAACAAAGTGTACTGCATTTTCCTTCATTCGTTGTTTGATTTGCTTTTGCTCCTGCCCTTTAGCCCCCACAGATCGACTAAGCTGAAACTCCTGCAGAGCAACAGGCCGCCACATCCGCCCCGTCTGCTGCTGTTTTTGTGCCCTCGAGCGCCGGCTGAGCTGAAAATGGACAAATCCTTTCTCCTTCGCATGCAGCCTTCTCACGCTCGCACTTGTTATCGAGATTTGACTGCGGATGAATAATTGATTAGAGACTTCATCCTGGAAATTACTGTTGCCATAGCAGCACCTCACACTTTCGAGGAGGCGTCAGATCTTTTGCGGTACATCTGGGCTGCGGGGAGAAGGTGGGCTCAGATCAGAGGCCGCCGTCGCTGCCTGTCTGACTGTCTTTTCTGACTGTCTGTGAGGGCGAAACATCCAGCAAACAACAACATGGGCAGTGAACACAGCACATCTACAGGCCTGTCTGTCAGCGCTCTCCTGGGGACTCACAAGTGACAGCAGTGAAGAAAGAAAGCAGTGGGCCGAGGACAGAAAATAAAAAAAAACAACAAAAAAAAAGGTATACCAACCTCACACTGCTTGCGCCAAATGTCTATGTTCTTGCGCTGTGCTTTTGAGAAATGGTCCCATGCCTTTTGCCTGGTGGCGGCGGTGAAAACGGCGGTGATCTGCTCGACTTTGGGGTTGAACAGGGAGGAGGAAGAGGAGGAGGGAGGGAGGAAGGAAGGAAGGAGGGAGGAGGAGGAGGAGGAAGGAGGGAGGGTCAAGACAAAACAAGCCGTTTATGTAGCGTCGTAGCACCGACTGGAGGCTCGTACAGCAGACAGAGGAGAGACCGTGGACATACACCGACCACTGGCTGGACCCACTCGACCTGTCAACACTTTACTCCGAAACAAAAACCTGTGTCATCGCTTGCTCCGGTCAAACTCTGCAAATGTTCGATCATCAGAAGTATTTTGGGCTTTCATGAAGCTGTTTATCCCCTGCAGGAATTTACAGGTTGTTTTAAGGGCGACCCAAACCTTTGTGTATGTTCTGACCACAAGAACCGTCCACGCAGAACCTCAATGAAGGGAGAAAATGTTCCTGCTCCAGGGGTAAATCTTTTTTGGCTTCTTTAAGGTAACACAACAAACCCTTTACTGTTCTGTTTCCTGCACTCGAAGAAGTAACTCAAGGGACTTATCACAATGTAGCTCCGCCCCCAATGGGTCCATAATGGGTCCATAATTTAAGAAATAAACATCACGGTGTATTAACGAAGACGTGAAACTAGCGATAGAGACCATAAACTCATTACAAAAGTGTTCACTGAGGTCACAAATCAAATAAGAAGTCATGTCATGTTTTCAAAGACTTCTGTGCAATCTAACTTCCTGTTTCAAACAGTGGAGTCGCCCCCTGCTGGATGTAGATTTGATGTGGATTTAAACCTTCGAGGAACTGTCCATGTAGAACCTCATTCAAGGGAGAAAGTGTTTTTTCATCTCCTTTAAGCTAACATAACGAACCCTTTACTGTTCTGTTTCTTGCACTCTAAAAGGTTATTTAGCATACCCTAGTTTGTCGTCTATTTCCATCTGAATGGGTCCATAATTTAAGAAATAAACATCATGGTGTATTAACGAAGACGTGAAACTAGCGATAGAGACCATAAACTCTTTACAAAAGTGTTCACTGAGGTCACAATTCAAGTAAAAAGTCATGTCATGTTTTCATAGAAAATCTCACTTCCTGTTTCAACCAGTGGAGTCGCCCCCTGCTGGATGTAGGTTTAAACCTTCGAGGAACCGTCCATGTAGAACCTCATTCAAGGGAGAAAGTGTAACTACTCCAGGGGTAAACTGTTTTTTGATCTCCTTTAAGCTAACATAACGAACCCTTTACTGTTCTGTTTCTTGCACTCTAAAAGGTACTTTAGCATACCCTAGTTTGTCGTCTATTTCCATCTGAGTGGGTCCATAGTTTAAGAAATAAACATCATGGTGTATTAACGAAGACGTGAAACTAGCGATAGAGACCATAAACTCGTCACAAATGTGTTCACCGAGGTCACAAATCAAGTAAGAAGTCGGGTCATTTTTGATTGAAAATCTAACTTCCTGTTTCAACCAGTGGAGTCGCCCCCTGCTGGATGTAGGTTTAAACCTTCGAGGAACCGTCCATGTAGAACCTCATTCAAAGTTGGGATAAAGTCAGGATTAGATAAACTATATTTTGATGTCTTGGGTTTACGTAATAATGCTACATCTACTTAATACTGTTTGTAATTTAATAACTCTAATTTCTGCATTAGTTGGTGTAAATATACCTCCACATACGACTCTATCACTTAATTTTTCTTCAGCTTGAGCTTAAGATTTGAAGTCTTCATCCTTATCTTAACATTCTTGGAAAAACAGTTAAGACTGGTAATAAAAAAATTGATTGTTGATTGTGGAGGAAGAGCTAATTCCTGTTAAGTCGATGTAGTTTGTTGCTTGAACATAACTTCATCAGAAGTCGTCAGAGATCAAACAAACTGTTTTCTTTTGACTGAGCCCAATCATTACTTCCTTCAGTGCTCATAGAGTTGGAGTCGTGTCCAGTAGCTGCTGTTTATCGTGGTTGTGGTTCACGTTAAGTTAACGTTGTGGTCAAAGCTGGCAGATGCTGCACCGAAACAGAAAGAGGAAAGTCTAAAAAGGTCAGACTACAGGGTCTTACCTGTACTTCCTGCAGTAGAAAGTTGCTCACATCGGCCGATACAGAGTCTGATCAGATTTACATAAATGTTCCTCATGGTCTTTTGAAAAAACTAAGACGTTCTGAGGACTGTGAATGTGTCCAATTAAGTGAGAAAGTGTTCAAAAATGAAATCAAACAAAAGGTCATTCTGCCGCGTTCACACACAGTTTAGTTTGGTGTCCGTATCTATGCATCACATATTGATTATAGTCATTACTAGTCGTGAATCTAGTAAAAATGTGACTTCTTGGGATTAAAAGGGTCCAAAACTGGTTTCTGTTTAATTACACATTTACACAGTTGGACTGTCAACTCACTCTAGAAGTTGAAAAGCCTGCTGGGTGAATTATTTTACCAACTTCCTGGTATACGGCACAGCCTGTCTGACGTTCTTCAGCGTACTCGAGACAAACTCTGAGAGGAAAATTTGAGGCGTCGGACTTCCGAACGTCTGCAGAGTTCTGACTCGCCGAGCAAACGATGACGGAATTACCGTATGTGGAGTAAAGTGCTTCTAGATGATCCAAAAAAAAACTGCAAAAACTAACAAAATAAAAAAAAAAAAAACTTTTACCTGCAGAATTCCTGTTGTGACCGAAATTCATTCAACAGCTTGACAAGCAATCAAATATTTACGTGATCCGGATGTAAATCAACAGGGAGACGGAGCGAAACGATAGAATATGATGAGATAAATAACAAATACGGTTCGTCCTCACTCAAAGGAAGAAATCAAATAAGAAAACAAATCATGTTGGTGGCTCATTCAAGGGCTTTAATTCTTCTGGCTTGTGTCAGTTAGGTCTATAAATGTGGCTCTATGTGGCCTCTAATGGAAACAGGTGTCTTTAAGGACAAGCAGCGCAAAGATAAACCTCCTAAAGCTTTAAATAAAAAAGGAAAAGCCTCGAGTGTGTCTTTGCAAACAGAAGGTTTGCTCCGTAGGACAACTGTGACGGCAAAGCAAAGCAAAGAATTCAAGGCACTCTGAATGGTGGCGGTTAAATATTAAAGGTTGTTCATGATCAAAGCTCAGAGTGCTGTGGGTTTCCAATGTTGTTTGCAAGCATGATTTTCACATGAATGAGTTCCAAACACTCGACTCTGAGTCTGAACAGCACTTACAGCAGCTAGACTGAGACGTACGTCTGGCGAATATCAAAAAAATACGCGAGTCTTGCTGCTTTCGTTCAAGGAAACTCTGATGTATTTACTGGAACCAGCGTATAGATGAGCCGAGGGAAAGATGGAGGAAGAGTTTGAGGCAGATTTGATTCCAGACGTGTCCACTGATGAGTGATGCCTCGCCGCCGCCCGTCATCGCTGCCGTCCTGCAGACTCTTGTTTCCTCCAAATCAGCTGAAGGGAAGAGCACGGCCGGCTCCACGGACGCTTTCCGTACGAAAAAAAAGCAATTATGTGCGCGCCCCGTCGGCGATGAACACCAGCATCTGGTAATATCTGAGACCCATTATGGGCTGAAATTACTGTGTTGGCTGAGAGAACAAGTTGTTTTGGGTAATCAGCCCTTAGGTTAAAAAAAAACAATATCAGAAAATAAAAATAACGACTAAAAAATATGAAAATAAAAATAATGTCCCAAAAAATATCACTTCTTAGGAAATAGAACTCAAATCGTCGGTATTTTTCATTAGTTTTTTGGACTTTTGTGTTTAGTGTTTGAAATAATCCACATAAAAATGATGCTTGCAAAGTTTGAGTCTCACTTTGCCTGAACAACAGAGTGCAAATATATAATGTCGTAGTAGTAG